CAGCATTTTTACAAAAATTCACTCACGTCTGGTTCTCTCTGTCAGACACGTTTTTTGGGCAACTTTTTCTCTAGCTTTCAAATGTTTGTTCAGAACTTTTTTTTTATATGCTGGCACTTTAAAGCCAACTATGTCTTCCGGTGCAAGGTAGGTATTTATCATTATTTTTGAGTCATTTTCAATTAGACGATTGAGTTTCTCCCCATTTGCGTCCGTAACAGTTTTTTTTTCGATGCCTTTCACCAGGGACATTTCCAAGATCAGTGTGACAACACAAGAATCGCAAAAAGCAGTCATACACAAACTCTTTAGATGTTGGTCTATTGTGAAAGGTTTCACAAGCCTTTCATGCCACTCAGAAACATTTCTTGGAGCTTGAAACTCTAGGAACGATAGCATGAAAATCACAGTGACACAACCGCAACTCAAAAGGTGGGAGAGGGCTCATGTTTTTGCAAATCGTTTTCATTCTATTTCATTTCATTGGCAAATTTTGAAATTATGGAGTGAAGTGGGAAAAGATTTTGAAAAGTGATAAAAGATGAGCAAATTTGATAGGTACTGTGCAGACCAACGAGAATAGCGTACTGTGACATTTTCAGAAGGTAAAATTCAACAGTATGGAATACGGACGGGAGAGTAAGGCAGAGAGGATAGTAGCATTGACTAAACTGAAAGAAAACATTACGCAAGAGACAACCGCGTGGTAGCATGGAGGAGTATGGTCGAGTTGGGAGAGGTGAGAGCTGAAATGAGGATAGCAGTAGGTAGCATAGAGTAGCATGATGCACACGCGTGAGAAGAGAGTTAAGGCAATAGCAGCGGATAGCATGGAGTAGCATGGTGTAAAGCCTTGAAGAGAGGGTTCAGAGGAAAGTAGCAATGGGTAGCATGGAGTAGCATGGTTCAGACACGGTAGAAGAAGGTACAAAGGAGAGTAGCAATGGGTAGCATGGAGTAGCATGGTGCAGACACGGTAGAAGAAATTACAAAAGATGGTAGCAATGGGTAGCATGGGGTAGCATGGTGCAGACACGGTAGATGAAAGTACAGAAGATGGTAGCAATGCGTAGCATGGGGTCGTATGGTATATACAAGAGAGGAGCTAGATATAATATATTTCGCCGAAAGCAAATGGAGCCTCTACCCTTTAACGATAGAACTTATCAAATCATCATTAACTCAGTTCTTTGACGGCTCTCGCACTTGACTGTACAGTAGAAAATAATCAGAACCCCCTCCCCCCATCCCATTTATCCGGCACTGCATGCATGCGACGGCCCTCCTCTCTGTCTACACCACTGCTCCGATGACGCCATGATAAACGGGGGGAAAAAAAAACTTTTTAGCGGAAAAAAAAATACTTTTTAGCCCCCATGTTCATTCTCGTCTTGCTTGATTTCAGCATCGAAGTACCTGAGTGCGAAAAAAAATAAACACTCGGCCCTTTAACTTCGCATTGACTTCGACATTTTGTGGACCCTCCATCACCCACCTATCCCTTAGGACAGGTGAAGCAGCCATCCCACCTCCATCTGGACATGCCACTGATTCCCAGTCATAACTTTTTAGCTCCGCTCGACTCGTCAGGTGATTCTTGCGAAATGCGAGACTAGCGTAGAACAGGGTACAGGGTGAGTCAAAAGTCACTGAACGACTTTTAACAGCTATAACTCGGCAAGTAAGGTATCAATTTGCAAACAGTATTTTGCACAGGAAAGAGCGTCCGCTAATTAACCAATATGCAACGTTGAAAAAAAATCTGATTTATTTGGCGTAAAAATGGCTGTAATTGTCATGTACTTCAAGGATTTCTTTTTCTTTCCCTGTTATGACCCCTTTCATCCCTTTCACCCTTTTCGTCCTCGCCATGGGGCATGCACCCAGCCCCCTCACCTTGGGCCAGAGGACTACTTTCTCCGGCCAGCTTTGCCCTTAAATAGTGGGGGTCTCCCGATATTCGAGGCAGTCGCGGAGCATTCCCTGGGCATCCGCTGATATTCGCTGATTCCAGGTGCCATTCTCGCCTGCCAATTCTCCACTTGGGGGCGGGATGATGAGATGCACCCAATCTTATTGATCCGAAGTATGACTGTACAACGTGTTTCGATGACACCATCAATTCCGTGACATGAACGCTGGCTTATGGACAAACCAAGTTAACGCCCTTTTTCTTGCTTCACACACCTGCCGTGGAGCGAGCTACGTACGTGCGTGAGATTACATACCAAGCTGTCTTACGCTTTCCAATCCAGCGATATCCCAGGGCCTATGGGGCCTACCATTGTCGAGTCGTTGGAAACAAGCTGTCTAGCAGTCTTTTTTTTATCATTCACTTCTGCATTTCCAACCAGGCTAGTTTCACGTCCACCTCGTTGCGACAACATGTACGTGAAATTGCATAAGGTATTGCATAAAAGCCCATAGACAAGAGCTATCGCAAGCGGAAAAACAGCAAATACGAACGTCATTCTGGTTTAGAACATTTATCATCGAAGAAAAGAGACTTGGAAGCGAGACTCTGACTAATGGAAGTTGCTTTGAATCGTCCGCGTCGCAGGCAGGTGTTTCACGCATGCACCTGAGGGCCCCAAATGACAAGGGCAAGGAGCCACTATGGATCCTGGCTGGAAACACCTCGTGCACGCGTGTCTGTCTGTCTGTCTCCCTCTCCTAGTCGATTTTGTTGTCCCCGAAATTTCTCCCTCTACTTGCGCACCGTCTAGATGGATTTTTGACGAATTAGCAGCCTGTGAACCGTAACCTTAAGCACTCCGCCGCTCTTTCGAGGCATCAGCAAGGTACGAGTCAACAAACACCTGCAGCCAATAGCTGCCCAATACCGACGAAACTTATAAGTTGCAAAACGGCAAACTTTGGTGCACACGATGCGACGAAATTCATGTGGATCTCAGGATTTCTATTTAAAAAAAAATTGGAAGCGCCATCGTTTTCTGTGGGACAAAGATAGCCTCGCATGTGACCAAGAATTATAAGATAGGGTAAAACGGCAAAACTCGAACACCTTCATCAAGGTGAGGGTTAAGTCGAACGCACGGAACTATTCTTTTAATTTCGTCTTTCTAGGCACCCTGTGCGGCACATCTCATGCTCTTTTTTTTTTACCTCTTTGTATGACAGATAAAACCAAGAAAGGTTCCGGGCGATCATGCAGTTCCATGACCGAGACAATGGAGATAATTCCAGTGCCGAAAATTGTGTGCCTTGTACCTGTAATTAGGTTCAGGTTATGGAGTAGGTACCTTGAATTTATTTTATTCTCATGGTGTGCATCACGTATGTTGCCCAATTGCCTTCTCTAGAAATTATAATAGTTGTAGATATATTTTATAGCATTCGGCGTCGAATTCCTTCCAAGATGCGAAAGCTCGCGGCCGTTAGACTCTAACCGCACCTAAGCTCGCGTTGCTACGATACCCGAACGTTGGTGGTCGAGTTATAGAGGATAGAGAATGCCTGCTAAATTCGACCATCAAACGCTTTCACCCTTTGCTTAGTGGCGAGAAAATGTTTCTAAGAACCAGTAATAATGTGTTCCTTTCATGAACATACATTTTGTAATTAGTGCACATTTAGAAACAGTAAATTTTATGTCTGGAACAAAAGCAGCCTTAAAAGAGGTCAAAGAATCGAGAACAAAGCCACCTTCAGGCAAAAAAGCCACAAAAAGAGGTTGCCAGTCCCAGTACACGCATGAAGCCGTACGTCAAGCTGCAGAAGCAGTCCGAGGAGACATGGGACATATAACGGTAAGTGCGAGATTTGACGTGCCAACATCAACTGGTCATGTAAATGGATAAGTCACACGCTTCTAGAGTGGCAGAAAGTCCTTCTCCATAAGAAGGAAGTACACTTGCTCAAATGTTACTTTCTATCCATGGCTGCCAGAGGGTGAGATTTTTCTGTCCTCTGGTTGGTTTACCATGAATTTGGGTTGGGAAAAGAGAGTATAGCCTAAAATAAAATTGCTGGAATTACACCATTTCAGTCCCTGTGACCTCTTTTGGAATTTGTATTTCAAGACTGAAAGGGTCAAGCAAGGCCAGCAAGCTCTGTAATTTTTCCCCCTTGTCTCTTCCCCTCCCAATCGATCGTGTTGAAGTTAGTCTGATTCACTTTAAAAATCATTTACGTCGAAAAGTTTCCATCCTAAGCATGGATATTGAAAAAATGATTTTAATTTAAAATTTTAAAAACATTTTTGAATGTACAAGAAAATGAAACCTTTCAAGAAAAAGAATTTCAATGGTGCGTACAGATCATGTGTATCACTCAGATCTAGAAAACATTAACATTTGTGCGGCATCCATCGTGATCTTTCCTAGAATAATGAATTTTGAGGTTTTTTCCTTCACGTTTCTGGGTTTTTATTACGAGCCAAAGTATGAAGATTAACAGGATCCAAGGGCAGAAGTACAAAAGGCAATTATGAAGTAGCCTATTTATACGAGGTAGAGTTGAATTCAAGACACACGAGTGTTCGGGTCTAGCCGTGCCCCGTTCGACTGACAGCCTAGTCCAACTTACTTCTTCCGCAATATCTCGGTTGTAAGATTTTAGGGGCGTTTCATTCTTGCAGCATTGCAAGCTGCAGAAAAATACGAAACAACGAGATATCATACAAACTGGTGGTCCTCAAGGGAGGTGAAAGTTACCCCTATTATCGCCTCGCAATCCATGCCGAAACCTGTTCGAGTTTTACCCTACTCGATGAGCGATCGACATCGGAAGGCAACGAGGTGCTAATATGAGGATTAAGTTTTTATCAGTGCCCCTGTCCGAGTCATACTATTACACACTCTTATATAATTTACTGGTGGACCATTCCGCTGCACGAGTGCCAGTGATTTGTGCTCGACAGCCTCAAAATTCAACGAAATTTGGCAAGCATTCATCATGTGAAGGGGCAAGCAGCTGATACCAATGCTCAAATGCATCAATGAGAACACTAAGGATCATAAAATGAAAAGCAAGTATATTCCAGATATATCATTCATCAGACAGCCTCTCATACAGAATTCTTCATTTTAGGATACATCACATATATGATTTATTCAGACATAATCAGTTATCAAAGCCACGATAAGAATAATGGAATGAGAGTCCCTTTGGCAAACACAGTTCCCTGGAAGTCCAGGAGCTTGATATATAGGCTCATGTGGCTCGGACACCAAGCTTTTCAAGGACACGAGGCCCCTTCTCCATGTACTCTTCTCTAGACATCCAAAAGGTCTCCTTGTCTTTCATGACTTCAGCCAAGACAGCTCCTCCAATAAAAACCATGTCCTTGCGCCTTGGTGGGTCCTCAATCCGTATCTTAAATTTCTGAAGAATCAGGCAGAAAATAAAGGAATGAGAAGTAATTCATCATATTGTAACTTATATTTTATAAATAAAACGTAACAATGAAAGTATTTTTAAAATTCCTGAATCAGTTTCATAGTGTCTCAATAAAAAGGGAGTCACTATTTTTTTTAATTATCATCTCCATCAGGTACCATGCAAGGCTCATGCTTTCCTGCATATGACATTTCAGATGAATAAGCAAAAGCAAGATTTCTGCAATTTCTGTGAAAGACAGGTTCTTGTCCTCCCTAAACTTCAAAATTTTCTTCCAATGATGAATGCTGTGATTCATGGTGACAAAAACTGTATGAATGGCCTGTTTCTGTAAGCCCTACACCTACAGAAAATGATAAATATAAAAAATGCAGCCTGAACACCAAGTAACTGATCTTGATGAAGCTTAGCAAAACCTCAAGCATATGTAGTTGGATGACTCTGAATGTAAGCAACACACTTGAAAGGCAGATGAGCACTCAGTCATATTCAACAAATTATCTTCTCAAATCATACATGGAATGAAATTTCAGTCACCTGTCACCTTTCAGTATGCTGAGAGAATGGCAAAAAAAAATATTGAGCTGGGAACTCAATTCACACCCCAGACATGTAGGAAAATGCTGCAATATCTATTCTCAATTCTCCAAGGACTAGATATTAAATTTGCCTCCAAGCACTACACTTTCACAAGAGAGTATTTGTGGAGAAACCTGTCACCCAACTATTCTGAATACTTGACTATGGGGTGAAATTATACTGCCCTCCAAAAGTCCTACAACACTTTCATGATCAAAATTCTCAGCACCTATGGCATCTTCTGCAAAAAATGTATTTCCTCCAGTAGCTTAATCTTTCGGCCAAGTGCCCACTTGTATCATGATTTGTACCACATTTTTTCCAAATGTGCCTCAGAATCCATCTGGTTGGCGTTTTTCGCATGGAACAATTAAAATGCATCCCCATACCAATTGTTGCTAAGCCAACTTTTCTTACACTCCATGTGGGAATGTTTTCTCTGTGCACCTTAAGGAAGAGTCCTGTCATACCTGTAATGCTCTAAAACACTCAGCAAAATTTTCATGATACAAATCTCTACACCTACAGTAACAAGAGAGAAAAAATATTTCATCTTATAACTTATTCTCTTAGTTGCACAAAAGCACCCACTAACAAGGTTTGAGCTTAAATATTCTCAAAATTGGCCTCAAAAGAAATATGGTCCAGAGAACAAGTTAAACAATGACATTTTCAGTGAACACCATTCTAGGATGTATCTGATTATTTCTATTTGTCAAAGGTGCAATTTTCCTTTCTATGAAAAGGTTTAACAAAACTACTGGAGGACTGTATATTGCAACATTCAAATTCTACCTGAAGGCAAAAACCCATTTCAATTAACCTTCTGTCAGTAATTGTGGGATACACCATGGTCCCAGTCCCCCCTAGTCCAGAGACCCCTTTCTCTTCATTAGTTTCAACAGCTGATATATTAGCCAATAGTCAACAAATCACCACTATTCCTCTGAATGCACTTTAGCATCACACTAAAATAATTATGAGTTGATACTCATGGATATGGCCAAAATAAAGCACTGCAGTTGAATGACTATTAGAAACTGCTGGATCATCATTAGCATAGGGTAGAGTAACTGTTTCCTATCACTCACTGAAAGTTTTTCTGTATCTCCTTTGAGGACCCTCTCTAGATAGAGCTGTCGGATTTCTCGCTCAAGTCGACTTGGTAGACCTGGGTACATGGTTGATCCTCCAGAGAGGACAATGTGCTTGTAGAGGTCAGGACGTATATCAATGTCTGCAGCTTGGATTGTGTTGAACGTCAACTCTGCAATCCCTTGCCCTTCAACATTGATGAGATGGGGCTGATACAGGGCTTCAGGAGCTTCAAATCTCTCCCCCCCCACTTTGATCACTCGACCATCTGGCAGCTGCACAAGAAAAGGGAACTTTCTCCATCAGCATAAACCCATGAAGGAATGTAAGGAAAAAGCCTTCATCAAATTACATGACTCAGTTCTTCTTAGAGGATTTTGTTTCCCTTCAACGAATGCTCTCAGGCACAAATGGTGATCATCATAGTCTTTAAATCACAGGGGTAATCAAATTCATGAATTGACTGATGGAAGACACTCACAGTATAAGGCTCAACCAACACAGTGGTTTCAAGAGCAAGTTTTTGCTCCTGTTCAATGTTGTACCCAATATAGCAGAGCTTTTCCTTCATCATGCGAACAGTCTCAAAGTCTGCTGTGTGATTGAAGGCATAACCTCTCAAGAGCAGAAGCTGTCACAGGGAATAAAAAAGGAATCCATCATTAAGTGGCAAAGAGTTATTACAAGGGTGGGCTGACAAGTATTGAGCCTACCTATGGAGACACTTGTGAGAAGTGTAAAAAACATATGACATGCCTTGTACCTTATTTGCAATTCCTGCTAAATCTGTCTTTGAAATTCAATTCAGTTCTCTGCCACCAGGGGATTAAGTGAGTCAACATGACGACGCAAGAGCAATGACTGGAAGAACATGCTGTCATCTGGTACCTGTTCCGAAAGGGCTTATCGGGGAAACCAATTCACAAGGACATGGTGCAAACTCTGCGGGATGATGCACCATCATACTGGACAGTCAAGCGGTGGGTAGCTTAATTCAAACGTGGCCACACAAGCATCACGATGAGCCACGCACAGGACTGCCAGTGACTGTGACCACTCACAAAAACATCAGGTTGGTGCATGATCTGATTCTCACAGATTGGCAAAGGACCACTGCAAGCATCGCTGAGGATTTGGGCATATCCAAGGAAGGAGGACAGAACATTATCCATAACGAACTGCTCATGCACCGAACTCCGGACCAGAAACAACAGAGTGTGTTGTCGTCAGAGCAACATTTGCAGCATTTCCGATCTGACAGAGGACTCTCTGTCGTTTCTGGTCAAGAGTGAGATTTCTGGGAACCCAGCGAGTGCTGAGCTTTCTCATGAGCAGTTCGTTATGGATAATGTTCTGTCCTCTTTCCTTGGATATGCCTAAATCCTCAGCGATGCTTGCAGTGGTCCTTTGCCAATCTGTGAGAATCAGATCATGCACCAACCTGATGTTTTTGTGAGTGGTCACAGTCACTGGCAGTCCTATGCGTGGCTCATCGTGATGCTCGTGTGGCCACGTTTGAATTAAGCTACCCACCGCTTGACTGTCAAGTATGATGGTGCATCATCCCTCAGAGTTTGCACCATGTCCTCGTGAATTGGTTTCCCCGATAAGCCCTTTCGGAACAGGTACCAGATGACAGCACGTTCTTCCAGTCATTGCTCTTGCGTCATCATGTTGACTCACTTAATCCCCTGGTGGCAGAGAACAGAACTGAATTTCAAAGACAGATTTAGCAGGAATTACAAATAAGGTACAAGGCATGTTATGTTTTTTTATACTTCTCACAAGTCTCTCCTTCATAGGTAGGCTCACTATTTGTCAGCCAACCCTCGTATAATAATTATTAAAGGTCATCAGCCTAAAGTAAACAGAAGAAAAAAAACAAACTGGGATTTCAATTTATGAATATTCAAAAGTAACATTTTTGGTAAATTGAGTCATGCAAGCATCACCAGTAAACTTCAACAATATCTCCCATCCATGATCATTAAGTTTTCAAGCATATATCAACAACTGTAGTAGTGAATGCATCCATGGAAGATTGAGGTTATCTCAACAAAGAGGTCGTACAGATCAGAGATCATGAGCTTTGAAGATAACCAAAGGCATTCATAGCCACTTTTCCTTTGGAACATATTACCCTTTAGAGACTTACATGCCAACAACATTTTTCAAAGGGGATAAATAAAAGTTAATCCTTTAACGGGTAAGTTTCAAGATGCAAATGGAAGGGCAGCCCAAGAATTTATTGGGGATATCAGAGAAGGGATTAAAGGTGGCAATAACAACTCTAGGTAAATGGATTACTATGACAGTAGGTTATGCTCATTTCCAATTATATAACAGCTTCCTCTTTCCAAAAGCCATACTGGCTTTTGTATAAAGTCTTTCAGACAGGGCATCATTACACATCTCCTCTGGCCCATATCAAACCTTGCACACAATTGACTTTTTCTTTTAAGATCCCTGAAGAATATTAATATCACAGGTTCACTTTGTAACTTGATAGCCTCTAGAGACTCTTGGAGTTTATTTAAGCTCCTGTTCAACATTTCACATAGGCCTGACAAGTAGTGAACAAAGACTTCATGGAAATAAAAAGTTGGATGCAGCTAGGAGCCAAATGCCTTGCAGGCATAGAATTATTGGGTTAGTGCAAAAACCAAAATCCTAGCATGTTCATACTTCATAAGGCTCAATGATTTTTCAGTGCCCCACCTTGTTCCACCAGAAATGTATGCATCACATACTTATCCTGCCCTTGTGGAGACTTGATCACTTCTAACATGATTCAAATGTGCAACGCACATCAGGATGTAACTAGACCATAGCCAGGAAACAACTGACTAGGCACATGAATAAAGATGGCCAAAATGAAGAAAATAAAACCAGTCTTTTTTCAGCTTGGTAAGTCTTCAGTGACCTAAACTTTTCGATCTTCACACACTTCTATGAATGAATCCTTCTATATATGGTTGCATCCGCTCAACTGTTTTTTTTGACAAAATGTCCATTCATCAACATGAGTTTTGATGATTTGATACCAACCCAAATATATATCCCAGCAAAACAAACTAAATCAATTCCTTGTTTTCTTTACAAGTTGGTTCTCAGTTGATTCCACTCATTGAACTCTTCAGTTCTAACATATTGACTTAGGATCTTCTGGATGGTTTTCATGTCCCTACCTTCTCTCTCTCTTTCCCCCCCCCCCACTCTGTTCTCTTGTTTTGTTTTTTTTTTAATATTAATTCTAACTCACAGTCTCTGGGCAAGATCTGTGCAGCAGACAGGGATGGGACAGTACAGGTGGGGTGCATGCAACAGACATGCTGGTATTTGAGCCTTTGCATTAGCCATAATTATTAATAGCTGGATAAGGTCATCAAATCTCAAAAGTCAAAACGAAATCCTGCTTTCCTAAATATTTTCTCCTACTTTTATCACTGTTGCCAGATATTGTGATCCAGTCTAGTTAAACCACAATCTCAGCAGCTACCAAATCACATCATCCTGTTAACTGGGTACGATGAGTATACTCATCAAGGCCATCCTCCAACAAGGTTCAAATGAACATACTTGTCATGGGATTAGAAGGTATGGGTTCTACGAGTTCTGAGAGTCCTAAAACCCTAATACCTTGAGGTATTCTGAGACCTAAAAGTTCTTATAAAAAAAAAAAGAAAGGATAGTGCAATTTGGTTCATGAATAAAATCAAATGAATAAAATCAAATAAAGACATTAGTCTTAATGTATACCTTGATGAGGTATCTGGTGATATCCCGACCAGCAATGTCCAATCTTCTTGTCAGGTGAGGCATGGCAAAACCTTCATATACAGGGCAAATATGTGTCACACCATCTCCAGAATCCACAACTACACCAGTCAGTAGTCCTTGGGCATAAAGTGTCAGCACTGCTTGGATGGCTATATACACCCCTGAAAACTGGTACTTCTCAAACATCACCTAGGAAAGCAAGGGAGGTAATTCCTTAGAAAATGATCCAGGCACCTAGAACAGGGCTATTAAAAATGCTTACCTCAACCATGCGCTCCCGGTTGCGAGTAGGGTTCATAGGAGGCTCGGTAAGCATTATTTTGCACTCTCTTGGATCAATATTCATCTTCTCAGGTCCAAATGTGTAATCCCACAGATGTTGCATGTCATCCCAATTCCTGTAAATTTTTTTGGAAATATCATGATGTGATGATAAAAGAAGGCTATATGCCAAGAAAAAATAAGCAATTGCTACCTGACAATCCCATTTTCCATGGGGTAATTGATTTCTAGCATGGAACGCAACTGACTTGCTTCATCTCCAACCATCAAATCCTGGACAAAGAGCTTCATATCAACTTCCTGATCTAATATTACAATAATGTTTGGATGTCTCATATGAAAATAAGGTACACATGACCTTTAGCTACTATAAAGACAATGACTGATAAGTACTCCTTCCAGATGCAAAAACAATCATATAGACAGGAAAAGTTGTATGGTCAAGTCTCAGTAAGGCAATCCAGGACTCACAAACATTGGCTCATGAATGAAGGATATCAGATGTACCAATTTCTTGTATATCATAATATCAATACTGATGCAGGTACTGGCACTGGCACTGAATAAACTATAGTAAATCTACATAATAGTAAATTCTAGACTGTGGGAGAGATGGAGGGGGGAGGGGAAAGCAATGCATGCTCTGATTTATGGCTACCAAACAGAACAAAGGCAAATGCCACAGAGTTGGTCAAAATATAACTTACTGATACAGACTTCTGTAGATCCTGCAGGCAATATCAAATGAAGTCAAGGGGTCATTCAACTTTCAATTTATTAATGAAATGGCACCAATTTAAGAAGCACTTAAACAGCATTAAAGCCCCCCAAAATTGAAAAAATTGGGCTTAAGAGGTCACAGAAGGCCAACACTTAATTCTGGATTATTTCATGTCTCTTTTGCATAAGGTCATATTACTTTGTTTCTGCATAGGTGTAAAAGTCTGGTTTTAAGACAAGAAAAGATTCAAAATCAGAAGAGACATTGCAGTGTTCAACTTCTTTCACCAGCTGGTGTCTGCTCTATACACAGATTAAAGGTAGAAATGAGATCTTGTTACTGATTTGACAAGGATTGATGTATTCTAGCTGCCTGAACAATATCCCTACCCTATCAATAAAAATTTGTTCCAAAAACAAACTAACCATTCATTAAAGCCAATGGGTTGCACTGAAAAATCAAAATGGATCATTCCGCATCAATTCATTAAAAAAAACTGACCTGAGCCCCCCTAACTTTCAAGAAATTAGGTACATTCACAGGGTCCATTGAGAAACTAAGGCCTAGTTATACTCCTGCTGCAAAGTGTGCAAAGTACTGGAAAAAGCATATAGCAGCAGTCCATTAATGAACAGCAATACTGCCAGCAAGAATTCCAGTGCTATTGCCTAACATCATCATTCAAGTCAGAAGTTATATTGGTTTCTGTATTTTCCCCCCAAATTTGGCATTGCAAGTCAAGTCCAGGCTTCAGTCAAATCAAGTGAGCTCTGACTTTTAATTATTTCTTAGATTAATCTGGATGGCATAACCCTTTAAGTGCTATGGTCACATCCAGCCACTACAAATCTCCTAGAACTATAGTCACATATACACATCTTGAAATTCCTGGCAAGTATGAGGTAACATCAATGAAAACAGCTGCTCAGTAAACTCAGTTAACAATCATTCTGTTTTCCATTACTACAAGCTGCATTTTCCCAAAAGTATTCAGTAGAAGGCCTGCAGTTTCACAGGAGAGCATACAGCACCTAAAGGGTTAAAATGGGTTCCATTCCATCACAAGCAAGCAGCATTGTTGTGAAAGGATATGCTGATTTTTGAGGAAGGAAATAAAAGAGAGAAAAGGAAGAAATGTGATTAAGACAAGAAGGTAAAGGAGTCGGATGAGAGAGGGTACACTTTCTTTGTTAACCTCAAACCAAGAAAATTCCTACAGATTTTAACTGCAGCAAAAAATAGTTCTGATAGCTTAAGCATCACTGGCTCTTGTTCTCATTTTTAGCCCACCTTTGTTTAATTTAATCATGATTCATTCATTTACCTAACGTGGTGCATATGCACAATTGCCCGATTACTTTTCCCTATTTAGCAGAACATGTGTAATACGAAACAATGCTTTTAAAAGGGGGCTTCCTGAAAAACTAGTTCGAATTCAAATTTTTAAAGGAAAAGGAACCCCCTTTTTCCCATTTGAAGTGACTAGGATCTAATTTTCACTTCAAAGTTTAGCAGGTAATTTTACCCCACCCTCACCTCACAGGTGAATTGAAAATTGCCAAAAAGTGCCTATTTCTGGTTCAGTGGTTATAGTTTAGGAACTCATCTGTATTGTTTTACTTAGCCCTAGAAGTGGCAACAGCCGATCAATCAAAAGTTCACCCATCACAGGGTTTAACCTCGCCACTTCTAGGGTTAACAACAAGAGATAGTGTTGGTGTGATTTTTAAGCAAATTTAATACCTTTATGCAATTTATTTTCCTTGGAGTTTTAATGAAGGTAATGGGCAAAGGTCAAAAGTCAGATGAGATCTTTGATTCTAGAAAAGCTTACAAAAAATTAGGGCAATACACAAATTACATAATATGTTTAATTATCACAATGCACCCTGTGAAGCATGAGCATCATGAAGTTACTAAATGGGTCAGTTCAATCAGTATAAAATTACATATGCTAATATACACTAGTGGCCAAAATTGTGGAAACACTTGAGAAAAGCCAAATTATCTACATAAGAAAAATCTTATTATTATTAGGATCTCATTGCAAAATCAATTTGATTGCAGTCACTGATAATGAAGCGACATATTTTATGGTAATCAAAATATAAGAAATGAGCCTACAATGCAAAGTATTTAAGAAAAAAAAATATTAGTGCGGGATGAGAAAAGAAAGCTATATAAATTGTTATAAAGATTCTCATAGAATCACTTTTTTTATAGTAGCAGGCACTATTCAATACAATAACTTATTCATTTAAACTATGCTCTATTTAAATTGTGCTCAATAAATGATGCACTTAGGAATTTAAAGCATTACCTATTAACCACAAATAATAAATTTCTTCTTAAATATTTACCTATAGCAAGAGTTTCGGAATATCTTGAATTACATGCCAAACCACACATTGTAACCATTTTTCAGCAGATAAAAATCAAAATATTGTTCTTGCTGTGATAAATCTAACAAGAATCACAATATTTTTAATGCATGGAATACTGCAATATTTTGCCAATCATATCCACAATATTGGCCTCTAGTATAATGGCTTCAATACATGCTTATTGGCTATTAAAGTTTGTTGACATTTGTTATTTCATTGTAGTGTCTGCTACTACTAAAAATCCATAACTGTATGAAAATCTTTGATATAACTATTTATATAGCATTTTCTCTTACCACACAAAAGTTTTTTTTAAAACATACTCTGCATTGTAGGCCCATTTCATAAATTTTGCTAACCATGAAAATATGTCACTTATGAAGTACTACCACTTAATTATCAGTGACTGCAATCAAATTGATTTTGTAATGAGATCTAGTAATTATTTTCTTCATGCAGATAATTTGCCTTTTCTCAAGTGTTCCTACAATTTTGGTCACTAGTGTAAAGTATAGGGTAAACCATAGTTTGGACACTGACATGCACTGCTACAAAACCAAGCTTTCATGAGCTCTCCTAAAAAACAGTGCTTCCCTACTAGAAAGAGCTGTTTCTGAGCATGACCTCATGAATGCCTAGTTTTATAAAAAAAATGTATTTTACATTGTCTGAACATACTTCTTCCTCACCTTCACTTCGATGTCTCCAATTTTGCTGGTGGCTCGAAGAATTGGACGCCCCAGAAGGGATGGGAATATGTGTGTTGGGAAATTCATCCCTGCATAGCCACATTTCACAAACTGAAATATAAAATCCAAGGAAAGGTTCTTTACTGAATGAATAGGCCAATCTAACTATAGATAAGCCTAATTAAATCCATGCAAAAAATACATGCAAGACAAGTGCCAATGAATCATATTTTGGCACCAGAGGCACTGAGCTGGGTTGAGACCCTGAGCACACCCATTTGCCACTCCTAACCCATATAAAGTCTGGTTTTTACACCATGTCCTTCTAGTAATTTTCTACATATTGTAGAATAGTACTATTATAATTCATAGCATCAGAATCAATATAACGTAGAATACTAGAGAACTGGCATAAAAAGATGCATTTATGGTGTCAAGGGAAAGAAATCATTCAAATAGTGCTGAAACTCCATCCACTTCTTGCACGAAAAAGGTACACTTGATGACTCCACATAGAATGACTCAATTTTCATTCTCACAAGCTAAGTACATGAAAGTTTCAGAAAACAAATATTGCAGTGTTTCCAATGTGATACGAAAACATCACAAACCTAGATCATCCAAGCAGGTTTTATAAAGCATCAAATGGGATGCTTTCTTGGCACCACCTGATATATTCACCATTACGATTTGTTGCTTATTGCAGTGGATAGCCATGCTTCTGAAGATATGTTTACAGTTGGTTTCACAGAAGCCATAAAAAAAAATCTGATCTGTAGCCTGTTTCTGGTTCCTTCCCACGAAAATCCTGCCAGCACCTATGGGGATGTTTTCTGCTTGTTATCCTAATGACAGTAATCAGAAGGGTATTCCTTTGTTATGTGCACAGTACAGACACACCGACTTCGTTTTGCGCACAGTGCTTATATGTGCACAGTCACTGACAGCTTATGTATCAGTTGTCCCAATGCAATCTTCCTTCCCCCCTCCTACAGGCCTCAACGATAACGTTAGAGTATCAGCTCCTGTTGCCCGTAGGACATGCACCCCACCTCCTAGAGGCGGACACCTGCCTTGCTATAACATAAGTCATTAGTGCCATAATATGTCTGAAGATGTCCCTAAAGTAACTTTCAATGATCACATGAAAGGAAGACAGGAAGTCTACCCTTCCGGTCTGCTTGTCGGATTCATTCATGGATGAGACGTCGTTGTACCAGCAAGGCGAGTGGAGTCCGTCTGTATATCTAATTTGATTTGGTTGTGTTAAAGGCATCCAATGAGATATGTCAATTATATGACAATTTCCAGCTGGCCCAACTCCAATAACTTCGGGAGCCTGTTGTTTTGGACGGTTTGGCACCATGGACGTTGTAAGAGGTGATACTCAAGATCAAGGATACACAGGCCTCAAATGTATTCAGTCAAGTTTGAAGACAAACATGTCAATAAGCAAATGAGATTGAGCAGCTCGTCATGGGTCAGCAAAGCCTACTG